CAGTGGCAGCGCGGGGACGGCCGGCGGTGGCAGCGCTGCGGGGGGATGCAGGTTTCTGATGGGTTTCCCCCCCTGCTGCGTGCCCGTGGCAGTGGGGACAGCTCCCGGCCATCCCTCACCATCCTCGGTGCTCGTGGCAGGAAACGTGAGGGTGCCATCAGAGCGCTGCTGGAAAATAAAAACACGCGGCGTGGGGGGCAAACCCGCAGTGACACGGCCTGGGGGGGTCCGGAACGAGCAAACGCCGCCTCCTCCCCAGGATCTGGCACCAGCCTGGTGGCCAAAAAAAATGGGTGGTTGCCATGGCAACGCCCCGATCCCCTTGGGGCTGCTGCCATCCAGGTCGGTGGAGGCACGTGGGGCTCGTGGCTGCACCGGGGGCCAGGGCATCGCCCCTCGCCCGCCTTCAGGAGGGGTGGCTACTATTTTTATATATATATTAAGGAAACGCTGTTAAAAATAGAACCTTCAAACCCAGTCAACGCGCTGCCGCTGCTTTCAAGATCCACAGGCAGTTTTGAATTCAGAAATATCTCTGCCACCAGATGTTGGGACTCGTGTTCGGAGAGGGCTCTGGCTCTGTTTTAAAAAAAGCCCAGGGAACTGACACAGTCAGACCGTAAATCCTACAATTTTGTTGCCATCTTTCACATTGCAAATCTCAAATTATAAATACCGAGTGTAGAAATTACTGCAATTTGTGGGAGTAATTTCCTCGGGGCTGGCAGCTCTGCTGGGTGCAGTGAGGGGGGGCCTGGCGAGGGGCGAGCTGCCTGGGCAGGACGGGGGTCCTGAGCCGTGCACCAGCGAGCTGGGCGTGCAGGAGGCACGGGGCTGTGCAGCCAGGGGAAAAGATCCCTTTGCTTAGCGGGAACAGACAGGCTTCTCAGAGGAAGCCTTCTGGGCTTTGTAGTCTTTAAGCTCCAAAATAAACGCTCCAGCTCTCCAATTCTCAGCCCTGGGCTGGTGCTGGTGGCCATCGGCACCGCGCCAGGGAGCCACGGCTCTGCCTTCCTCCCGCAGGGGTCACCATGAAGCTGATGGACGAGGTCGCCGGGATCGTGGCCGCTCGCCACTGCAAGACCAACATCGTCACCGCCTCCGTGGATGCCATCAACTTCCACGAGAAGATCAAGAAAGGTCAGGGGGGTGTGGGGGTGCAGGCGGCGGTGCCTCTGCCGGCCGCACGCCGCAGGGGAACGCCGTCCTGGTGAGCCTCGTGCGGCGCTCAGCTACCCATGGGTCCTGGTAAAGCACAAAAGAGCAGAAATCTGCAGCATCCCCTGTGCTGATGCAGAGAGGAGACCCGGGGCAGCAGGCACCCGGTACCTGGGACATGGTTTTGGGCATCGAATTAACCTAGGGTGCCCGAAACTGAGTGGTGCTGGTGCGCGAGGAGCGTCGCTGGGGCAGCCCCTGCCCTGTGGGTAACGCTGGTGGCTGCAGCCTGGGGCCGAGCCCTGCCAGGGGCATCGAGGGTGCCCCGTGGGCACGCTCAGGGTCCCGTGGGTCCTGCCTGCACGTGGCGAGCTTTCTGCTCGCAGGTGTGGCCGCGGTGCCCTCGTGGGTGAGCCACCCCTCCGCTCTCTGCAGGCAGTGTTATCACCATCTCGGGGCGCATGACCTTCACGAGCAATAAGTCCATGGAAATCGAAGTCTTTGTGGATGCCGACCCTTTTGTGGATGAGCCGCAGGAGCGATACCGTGCCGTCAGCGCGTTCTTCACCTACGTGTCCCTGAGCAAGGAGGGGAAGCCCCTGCCTGTCCCTCAGCTGCTGGTAAGAGCTCGCTCGGTGCGCACCCAGCCCCATGCTGCTCGGGCTTCTGAACACAAATGTTCTGCTCTTTGCTGCAAGCAGGGGAGGTTTCAGGCTTCCTGTTTATTAAACGCTGAATATTTCACATACTTGGGCTTTTCATGTGATGCCCTCAGGGCTTTGTTGTCCAACAAAACCTCTTCCTCTGAATTGTTCAGCAGAAAAACATGAGCATAAATGAGCCTCGCCAAGCCAGGCTTCGGGGTTGGTTTTGTTTATTTATTTTTTTTAATTTCTTATGGTTGAAAACTGCCAGCACAGAGGTTTGTTTTTCCTTTCTCACAACATGAGGAAAATCTGTCGCTGGAGCTTCACGGCTTCCTCCCTCCCCGCGGTGACCCGATGGGTGCCCGCAGCCCCCGGCCCCGCCGCCCTCCTCCCGCTCCCGGCTCCTGGATGCCGGCGGCGCTGAGCTGACGCAGCGCTGATGGCAGGGAGTTGTTTCTTGATTAATATTTCATGCCGAGTAGATCTCCTTCTGTTCTGCGCTCTGTGACATTTTGGAGTATTTTGTGGGCTAATTATACATTAGCCATCCAAGCTGCGCTCCTCGGAGCCGTTTTCCATCCCCGCTTCCTGCGGCAGGCGGCGCGGTGCCTCCCGCGGGCTGGGGCTGGCTCAGACCCCGCACGGCGCTGGCCAGGCCGGCAGCCCCACGGCTCCACCACCACGGTGCGAGTGCTGCCGCGGGGCTGGCGGTGCTGGAGGGCAGGATCTGGCCCGCTGCCCGGCAGGTTTCCCACCAGGCACTCGTATCCGAACGCTCGCGTCCAACCCGTGCGCTGCTTCTGGCTCCAGCCCCAGCCGAAGTTGAACTCGGGAGATCTTTTTTTAAATTTCTGAATAATTTAGGGAACGCGTGTTACTGGAATGGAATGTGCTGCGAGCTATTAATCTGTTGCTGTGAATATGTCCTGGTGGGGTTTGGTGGCACCGCAGCAGCGCGGGGCTCCTGGTGTCCTCCCTCGCAGGCAGGAGCTGAGCCGTGGGGAGCCTGGGTGCCAGACGAGGTTGTGCTCATCCCTAACGGGGGTGCTGCTGGCTCCATTATGATCAGGCTGGGTTTCTCTGGGTGATTCTCTGAATTAAAGAGGTCGCTGGGCCAGGGCAGCCACGGCACCGTGGTCACGGGCAGCCCGTGGTGTGGCACCGCTGCCATGCAGGGAGCCAGGGGCTGCTTTTCTGTAGGGCTTTGACATCAGGGTGAGCCAAGTTTTCAGCTGTGATTGCGTTGCCTGTCCGAGCAGGCAGTCCAAGCAGAGCAGAGTTGCATCTTCTTGCTGGCAGTAATTTAATTATTAATCTCTATTGTCCCAGTGGAGCTTAGAGTAATGCATCTTTAACGAGCTCTCAGAGGGAGCCGCGCTGTGTGCAGCGATGGCATTTCTTTTTTCTCTCTGCTGCGAGCTAACCCGAAGGGCATCCATGCTGGGGGCTCAGTGGCTGGCGGGCTGGGGGCTGCTTGGGGCCCCCGCATGGGGCTCGTGGCTGCAGGGCTGGGAGTGAGCGGCAGCACGGGGCCAGGAGCTTGGGGACGCAGCTTCTGGGAGCTTAACATGGTGCAGTGCTGGGGGTGAGGGGTGCGATTTTGGGGCTGCCTTGCTGTGACCCTGAGTCCTCGCCGGGTGCTGGAGAGTCCCTCGGCTGTGAAAGGAGCTCCCTCATCCATGGGGCATCCAGGGGCTACGGCTGGCCAAGCCTGGGGCAGAGGGGATAGAACACGGTGCAAGGGACGTGGGACAATGTGGAAGTGTCACCGCGAGGGGCTGTGAGGTGAGGGTGCTGTCCCATCGTGGGCAGCGGGAGCAGCCGGCGGTGCCCAGGACGTGGCCAGGCTCCATCCGGCACCTCCCACGGCCGGTGCTGTGGGCGCCGCCGACAGCTGGAAGGGAACTGAACTTATCGATTGAACAAAGTCCGTGTAAACTTGCCCACGCATCAGATCTGCCCGTTCAGCTCCTCATTAAGCTAATGTTCATGGCTTTGCTTTCTTTCGCTTACTGCCAGACGGAAACCGAGGACGAGAAGAGGCGCTTTGAGGAAGGGAAGGGGAGATACCTCCAAACAAAAGCCAAGAGACAGGCGCAGATGCAGCAGGCTGCCCAGCACTGATCTCCGACCCGGACCAAAGCGCTCGCAGGAGAGCCGCCGGCGACCGTGTGCTGCTCAAGTATTCACTCGGCCAAACCTCCCCGTCCCCATTCGTGTTGTGTTACGTGTGCGGGGCCTCGTGCGCTGCCACCGCGCCGTGCCGTGCCGTGCCGCAGGAGCGGGCTGGAGCAGAGCCGGTGTTCTGGGTGCGCCGCAGCGGTGCCAGCAGCGAGCTGCTGCTGGATTTACCGCCCTCACCCTGTGTATTAAACGGCTTAAATGCTCCAGAAAGCCTCCGGGATCCGCCTGGCTCTCGGGAGCATTTGCATGGGTTTGTCAGCGAGCCCCAGAGCCCCGGTTTTGGGGTTTAATCCCCAGCTCCTGCCCCCACCGCGGCGGCGCGCACGCACGTGGCAGCACAAGGGACGCACGAGGCCCCGAGTCTTTGTGAAGCTGTGTTAAACTTCCAGTATGTCCTAAAAAATGTACACCAAAGCTTATTTATGATACTTGCGCCTATAAAAGCGACCGAGTATTGTATTGAATGTCTCAGCCCCTTTCCATTGACAGCCCTAGGTAGTATCTCCGTGCGCATCTAAGTTATTTGAGGAATTCTGTGACATAAATAAAGTCTGTCAGCTCTGACTGGAATAAAGGGGGTGTCACTTTTTTCCTGAAGCAGCGGCATGGCTGGCTTAAGAGCTTATTCCCAACCCTGGCTCCGAGCTGCCGCGGGCGTTCTGCTCCCTGCTGACATTTCCCCGTTCCCTGTAATCCTGGGGGGGGGGCTCGCAGCCCCCCATCCTCTGCCCTTGGGGGGGTGGCAGACCCCCGGGCTGGCTCCCAAGCGTGTCCCCAATCCAAGGGGGGTGTGGGGACGGGGTGGGGGTGTCCGGGGGCAAAACCGGGCGGGGGGCTGCAGCCCCCGGGGAGGGGACCGGGGGGGACAAAGGGATGAAGGGACGAAGCCGCTGTCCCCGTCGCCGCGCCCAGCACCGCGGCTGTCCCCGCGCTGTCCCCGCGGCCCCGGGGGCGCTGCCGGGGATGCTCGGGGGGGCGGGGGCCGGGGTCCGCTCCCGTGCCCGTGCCCGTGCCGGCGCGGCGGGCGGTGCCGAGACATGCGCTGTGCCGCCCGGCGCGGCCCCGGCTGGGCGCACGGCTCGGTGCGGCTCGGCGCGGCTCGGTGCGGGAGGCAGCCCCGCAACCGGGGGGGGAACCGGGAGGAACCGGGCGGAACCGGGCAGGTACGGGAAGGGCGGCACCGGCACCGGCGGCGTCCTTCTGCCGCCGGGCTGCCCCCGCCGTCGGGCAACCCGGGGCGCCGTGCGCTGGAGGAGCACCGGGGAGCGCGGGGATCCGCTCCGGTACCGGGCGGGCGAGGGGCTGCGGGAGCCGGGACCGGGACCGGGGCCGGGGGATGGGGGGGGAGCGGCGCCGGTGCCCCTCGGGCAGCCCCCGGGGAGGCAGCTCCGGCTCTGCCCGACGGCGCCTCCCGGCTCCGGAGCTCCCGGGGACCCGCCGGGGCGGCGGGGGCGAGCGCGGGGTTGGTGCCGTGGGGCAGCCGCCGAGGACGGGGCGTCCGCGGGGGGTTCCGGCACGGCGGGGGTCGCCGAGCCCCCCGGGGCGCTCCGTGCCGCCTCCCCCGCAGCCCGGCACCTCCCGAGACGCGCGGCGGGGGGATGCGGAGGGCCGGGGTTACATAAGAGCGGGTGCTTTCCCCCTCCTCTGCCTCCTTTTTCCCCCTTCTCTCTGCCCCCCCCGGGGCCGTGCAGCGCCCCCGGGGGCAGCCCCACGCGGGATTTGTCTCTCGTGGAGGAGCAGCCCCTGCGCAGCCCGCGTGGCCGCAGCCCCGGGGAAGCTCCCCGCATCCGTGGGGTGTCCGGGAGCTTCCCCAGGGCACCGTCGGCGTGGGCCGTGGGCTTCCCTCGGCAGCACAGCAGGCTCCGGAGGCTGTTTTTCCTGTAGTTATTTTTAAGAAAGAAAATCCTTGTCTTTTATTGGGAAGCCCAGAATAGCTCCCGGCGTTTGGCAGCCGTGCGATGCGGCTCGTGGGTGCTGTGCGGGGCTGTGCCCCGTGGGCAGACCCCGCAGGAGGGGTCCCTGACCCCCCGAGCATCTCTCCGGCTGGCACGGCACGGGGCTGCGGGCAGCTTCCCGCTCCGGGGGCGAGGAGGTTGTGTCGGCAGCGCCGTGGCTGCCAGCCTGCTGCTTCTTCCCGAGGAGTCTAATTATAGCTGCGAGACTGCGCTGCCTCCTCTCCACCCGCTACCGTGCCCGTGCCGGAGCCCCTCAGGCTCATCGTCGGTGGGGAACGACCCTCGGGCGAGCGTGCGCGGGGACGCGGTGGCACCACGGGGCACCCGTGGGGTGCTGACAGCCTGCGCTCGCTTGCAGGTGCTGGGCTCGGCGGTGCCCAGAACCAGCCTCGATGGCCTGATGTGTGCCCTAGATGCCTGCGGCTGCGGCCCCGTGGCGCCTCGCCGATGGTGCCGCGTCCCTCCACCATGCGCGATGAGCAGCGGCTGCCCGGCAATGCGGTAGCCTGGCTGGCGTGCGCCGGGGTCTCGCTGCTCGCCAACGCCTGGGGCATCCTCAGCATCAGCGCCAAGCAGAAGAAGTGGAAGCCGCTGGAGTTCCTGCTCTGCTCCCTGGCGGGCACCCACATCCTCAACACCGCCATCCCCATCACCACGTACGCCGTGGTGCAGCTCCGGCGGCGGCGCTCAGGCTACGAGTGGAACGAGGGCCTCTGCAAGGTCTTCGTCTCCACCTTCTACACCCTCACGCTGGTCACCTGCTTCTCCGTCACCTCCCTCTCCTACCACCGCATGTGGATGGTCCGCTGGCCCGTCAACTACAGGTACCGAGGCTTTGCCTGCCCCGTGCCCCATCCCCTGGCACGCTTCAGTGGCTGTGCCAGCACCTGGGGAGGGGGAGAGAGCCCTGGCACGCAGCCCCCTCTCTGTGCTGAGCATGTCGGGGGCTCTGCTGCCTCTCCCCAGGCTGAGCAACACCAGGAAGCAAGCGGTTCACACTGTGATGGGGATCTGGATGGTCTCCTTCATCCTCTCCACGCTGCCGGCTGTGGGGTGGCACGACACCACCGAGCGCTTCTACGCCAGGGACTGCCGCTTTGTCGTGACGGAGATCGGCCTGGGCTTCGGCGTCTGCTTCCTGCTCCTCATCGGGGGCAGCATGGCTGTGGGCGCCGTCTGCATCGCCATCGCCCTCTTCCACACCCTCTGGGGACGGCGCGGCCCCGACGCCAGCAAGAACCGCTTCCACGTGCCCACCATCGTGGTGGAGGACGCCCAGGGCAAGCGGCGCTCCTCCATCGACGGCTCCGAGCCCATCAAGACCTCCCTGCAGATCACCTACCTGGTCACCGTCATCGTCCTCATCTACGACGTCCTGATGGGCTTCCCGGTGCTGGTGAGTGCCGCGGGGACGGGGCGGGGGCGCGCAGGGGGGCCGCTGGTGACGTGCCGGTGCCGCAGGTGGTGAGCGCCGCCAGCCTGCGCTCGGACGCCTCCTCTGACTGGATGGTGCTGTGCCTCATCTGGTGCTCGCTGGCGCAGTCCCTGCTCCTGCCCCTCTTCCTCTGGGCCTGTGACCGCTACCGTGCCGACCCGCGCGCCGTCTGCGAGAAGTGCCGCGCCGTCCTGGCCAGCGACGACGGGGACGAAGGTGGGGTGCGTGGCGGGGAGGGGGCGCGTGCTGGGGACAGGGGGTGCCCAAAGTGACAGTGGACCCGTTCCCAGCAGAAAGCAGCCTGGAGGGCGCCGTGGCTGGCGAGCTGGTGTACGACCGCCCCTACGAGTACGGCTGCGCGGCCGAGGTCCTGGCGCTGGACCCCGTCGCCACGCGGGACTTCTCGGTGCTGGAGCGGGGCCTGCCCCCGGTGAGCCCCGCCAGGACGGAGCCGGGGGACCGCATGCAGTACCTGCAGGTAAGGGGCTGCTCGCGGGCAGGGCAGCAGGGCTGTGGCAGCGACACCGGCACCAACCGCAGCTCCCCGCAGGTGCCCCCGCTGCGGCGGTTCTCCCACGACGAGACGGACCTGTGGACCAGCAGCCAGGTCGCAGCCTACCTGCAGCGCTGGGGGGCCGGCGGGGAGGCGGCAGGGGCTGGCACGGCTCCTGGCCCCCCGCCGCGACCGGCCCCGCCACGGCTTCGTCCCCTGCCCCGAGGAGCAGCTCGCGTACCGCCGCCGGCGCCGCTCTGCCGACAGCCTGGTCTCCCCACTGCACGTCCCTGGAGAGGGGCTGCACCTCGCCGACCTCCGCGGCCTCGGTGGCGAGGAAGGGGCCACCGGGAGCCCGGGGCGCTCGGCCTCGGTGGCCCTGCTGCCTGTGGCCGTGCCACACCAGTCCAGCCTGCTGGCCACCTTCCCACTGGCCGCTCTCCAGCACGAGCCCCGGGCACTGCCGGGCCCACCGGGTGCCCTCGCCGTCCCCGGGCCGCGGCTGGCCCCCGAGGACCCGGCACGGCTCTTCGCCCCGCGGCCCGCCGAGCGCTGCGGGGGCCGGGTGCTGCGGCCAGGCCTCGGGGACGGCGGCCGGGGCAGCAGCAGCAGCCTCCTCAGCTCGCCGTCGGCTTCCTCGGGGTACGTCACGTTCCTCTCGGGGTCCATCGGATCGGCCTCGTAGGGCCGGGATGGGACAGGACGGGACGGGACGGCCGTAACCGGACAGAATGGACTGGGCGTTACGGCACAGAACGGGACTGAGCAGCACGGGACGGAATGGGCCGGGCTGTGCGTTATGGGCTGTGCGTTACAGGACAGAACGGGCCATGCCGTGCATTACGGGCTGTGCGTTACGGGATGGAACGGGCCGAGCCGTGCGTTATGGGACAGAATGGGCTGAGCTGTGTGTTATGGGCTGTATATTATGGACAGCAGGGGCTGTGCATTACAGGCTGTGTATTATGGGATGGCACAGGCCGAGCTGTGCGTTACGGGCTGTGCATTATGGACAGAACGGGCTGTGCATTACAGGATGTGTATTATGGGATGGCACAGGCCGAGCTGTGCGTTACGGGCTGTGCATTATGGACAGAACGGGCTGTGCATTACAGGCTGTGTATTATGGGATGGCACAGGCCGAGCTGTGCGTTACGGGCCGTGCATTATAGGACAGAATGGGCTGGGCTGTGCCGTGCGTTACGGTGCGGCCCAGGCACAGCCCGCTGCAGGCAGGTCCCGAGGGCCTCCCCGGGCCGCTCCCCGCTCCACACCCAGCTCTACTTGAGGCTATTTTTTAACTTTTATTTTCCAATTTTCAATAAAAAACCCACTCGCAGCACTGCGGGTCCTGACGGGGGGGGGGGTGAGGCGGGGCGGGGCGAGGCCACACCCACCGGGGTGTGTGTGTGTGGGGGGGGGGGCGCTGGCTCCTCCCGAGCGAGCTCTCGCGAGATCTGCTCCGTCGCCCTGGGCAACAGCAGGAGCGGAGGCGGGGAGGAGGGAGGGGGAAGTCTCGCGAGAGGCGGCGCCGTTGCTAGGGCGACGCGGGGCGGGGCGGGGGGGTGCCGCCAAGATGGCGGCGGCGGCGGGGCGGTGGCGGCGGGGCCGGCTGTGCCGTGAGGCGCGCTCCAGCCTGGCCGCCTTCCTGCTCGGCGCCTCGGTGGCGGCGCTTGCCGTTGGCGCTGGGCTCCCCGCCCGCCCTGCTCGCCTCGCCCGGCCTGCGGGGCCGCCTGGCGCTCGCCCTGCACGTGGCGGCCGTTAACGGGGCGCTGCTGCTGCTGTACCCGCGGCCGCTCTACAAGGTGGGAGGCGGGGAGGGGGGTGAGGGGGAGGTGAGGGGGGTGAGGGGGGAGCCCCCCGGGCAGCGCCCTCCCTGCGCTCTGCTCGTAGATCGCCGTCCGTGCCGGCTTCCTGGGGTTCGCCTTCGGCTGCGGGCTGCTGCTGAGCGCCGGGAGGTCCGCGTGGAGGCACTTCGGGTGGTAAGGGGGCACCGGGAATAGGAACTGGGACGGGAACGGGGGTGGGAACTGGGAACGGGCACCGGAGATGGGAACCGGCGACGGGAACCGGGAGTGGGAACTGGGACGGCACGGGGAACGGGCACCGGGGTGGGACGGCACCAGAGATGGGAACCAGGAAAGGGAACCAGGAACAGGAACTGGGAATGGTAATGGACACTGGGAACGGGCACTGGGAACAGGCACCGGGGATGGGAACCAGGGACAGGAACCGGGAAGGGGCACTGGGAACGGGAACCGGGAGCAGACACCAGGGTGGGACCCGAGTGGGACGGCACTGGGAATGGGAACTGGGAGCAGGCACCGGGAATGGGAACCGGGAACGGGCACTGGGGTGGGACCTGAGTGGGATGGCACTGGGATGGGGCAGTGTGGCACTGGGATGGGCACTGGGAGCAGGCACTGGGATTGGGCACTGGGATGGGATGGTGAGCACTGGGGTGGGCACTGGGACAGGGTGGGATGGCACCGGGAACAGGCACGGGGGTGGGCACCGGACCAGGACTGGACACCAGGAATGGGCACTGAGGTGGGTACTGGGATGGCACTGGGATGGGATGGCACTGGGACGAGGCAGCACAGCACTGGGATGGGCCCTGGGCAGTCACCAGGTTGGGGTCAGGCCCTGCAGCAGGTACCTGGGGCCAGTACCGGGCAGTCAGGGTGTGTCGGGGCCCTCTGGGACCGCGTGCCGTGCAGCCAGCCCGGTGCGTGTGCCGGCGCTGCCCTGCCCGCCCCGCAGGTACATGTGCTCGCTGTCGCTGTTCCACTACTCGGAGTACCTGGTGACCGCCATCAACAACCCGCGCAGCCTCTCGCTCGACTCCTTCCTGCTCAACCACAGCTTCGAGTACAACCTGGCCGCGCTCTCCTCCTGGGTCGAGTTCACCCTTGAGAAGCTCCTCGTGCCAGGTCAGCTTGGCTGGGGGGGAGCGGAGCCACCCATGGGTGTGTTCCTTGGGCTCAGAAATGAATGGCACCGGTAAAAGCTGTCACAGTTCTACAAATCCACGTTTTTTTGGTGAAGGAAGGCATCCTCCTTCCCCCCATGACAGCCCATGGGGGCGTCATGGAGAGCCAGGCGTTGTGCGAGGCTCGAACCAGCCAGCACCGCTTTGCTTTCCCTCAGCCTTACACTATAAAGCCAGGCTCCCCTCCGTGCCTGATTCCCTTCAGAGCAACCCTCCCTGAAGGCTGTGCTGCTCCTGTTTGGTCCTTTTTGGGAGCAAAGACCTGGCAGCTGATCCCTTTTTTGTTGGGCAGTGATAGCACGTTGAGCCAAAGAGCCAAACCCATGGTTTATGCGTCTCTTTGCTTTGTGACAGGGAAAGCCCCAACACCCCCAGTGTTTTTTGGGGGAAAACCCCAAAACCCCAATGGGCCTGGTGCTGGTCGGGGGCACAGGGAGCACACGAGGCCCCCACTTGCCCCTCCCCAGCCCCTCGCCCCTGCTCGGCGCTGTGCTGACGGCTGCTGCTTCGCTTGCAGAAATGAAGCAGATCACCTGGCTGAGTACCGTAGGGTTACTGATGGTGATCTTTGGGGACTGCCTGCGGAAAGCTGCCATGCTCACAGCTGGCTCCAACTTCAATCACATCGTTCAGAATGAGAAGTCGGACACGCACACTTTGGTGACGAGCGGGGTGTACGGGTGGTTCCGGCACCCGTCGTATGTGGGATGGTTTTACTGGAGTATTGGAACACAGGTATCGTACCTCGCCCTCAGCTGCTTTCCCCTCATAACCTGCCTATTTCTTCACGCTGCCCCAGCCCTGGATGCGGTAGAAACCTCGGGCTGTCAGCTGTCAACTTTTAGACCTTAAACCTGCAATTTCTTTTGACTGTGAAAGCTGGCTTCGGTACCGGGGGCAGCATAATCCCTGAGGGAGCCGGGGAGCTGCCGGAGTGTTAACCGCTGGTGTCTGTCGGCAGGTGTTGCTCTGCAATCCCATCTGCGTGGTGGGCTACACGCTGGCGTCCTGGCGGTTCTTCAGGGAGCGGATAGAGGAAGAGGAGATCACGCTCATCCACTTTTTTGGGGAGGAGTACCTGGAATACAAAAGGAAGGTGCCGTCGGGTCTCCCTTTTATTAAAGGAGTCAAAGTGGAACTGTAACGCTGGCAAAACTGGACTGGTTGAGAAAACCTCCAGCTCCGGGCGCTGTAGGTCGAGGAACTATGCATAGTGCTGGCGCCGAGCAGCCTGTTCCCATTTCCTGGCCGTCCACTAGAAGCTCGCTGAGGGCTGCAGGGCCTGGCGGCTTTCCAGGTAACTAGGAGATCAGAAGCACGTTCATCCTCCTCGAGATAAGAGTCCTTCGTCGCACATTCAGGGATCCTCCGGATAACTTAGCCTATAGCAATCCTACCGAGAAATGATCCTCCCGCCTAAAGCAGCTGAATCGTACTGAAACTCGGACTGGTTCTTCTGGAGAATGAGCTCTGCCCTTCCACCCCTGCGCTGGAACCGTGCTGGTGGGAATGCTGTTCCTATGGCGTAGCTGTCTTTTAGAGCTTCCTGACCTTAGAAGCCAGACGGCACAGCTTTAATCTCTGAAGCCTGCTCCTGCAAGCCCCGGGCTGGTGCTTGGACAGCTTGTGGGAGCAGGCCTCGCTTTGGGCTCGTCAGACTGCGGGACATCAGCTGGCTGGAAAGCTGTCAGCGCGCTGCAAATCAGGTTTCCCCCGGCCGATGCGTTAACAGGGAGCTCCTGGCACCCGCAGACTGCCGGCCCCTCCAAGCCATGCAGCAGAAGAGCTGGGTCTGGGGTCCCCGGTTACTGCCCTGCCTTCAGGAGCCACCGCCCGGCTGCTGCTTTCCCCTCTCTGTTCTGTCCACGCTCTTCTGAGACCCGCTTCCAAATCACGCTGCTTCCTGCCCTGCCTGGCGTCTTCGCTGGCCAGCTCTGTCCCGCAGAGATCCCGGGGCTTGGGGTTGGGGAGGCAGGAGGAGGACTGCGGCTGGCAAGCTTGCAAAGAGCTTTTAGCGCTTCAGATCCTTGCCTGGTGTTGGGGTGAATCTGGGATGTCGGTGAGAGCAGGAGAAGCTTCTAGGGAAATTCTCTCAACAAAAGGTTTGGCTAGCTAATAATGCTATTTTAAACATTACCATTTTGGAAATGGTTCCTATTCAGGCTTTGTGGTATAATTTATTCTGTTCTTATATACCAAAGAGGTTCACCGTTTTCCTGGGTTTTACATAATTCTTCCTTGCTGGAATGGAAATGAGTTGCTTGTCAGCACACGCTTCGGGCTTGCAGTATTCCTTGAAGATACTGTGATTCAGCTCAGGAAAGAGGGCACTGGTGGAAATTGCTTTTGTGATTTTTTTATTAAAAAGAAAAAAAAGGAAAAAAATGTTGCCAACTTCTGTCTGGTTGTCATTTGGGATCTCTTGAGGTGATGGCGACCGCATCAAAGCTGGAATTCTTAATTTTATACCTCCCAAAGGGTTTTCAGTACACTTCAGTGTTACAGTGAAGTATGATCATGACTTTGGGTAATTTGTGGAGCCAGAGAAATAGGGACAAATTCGTAGTCTCTACTTGCTTAACCTATGTGGAATCCTTTCTTCTCCAGGTCATGCTTTATATTACAGAGCAATTCCTGCACTGAGTATTGGCTTAAAGCATTCACTGATAAGTTGTCTTTCACTATGTTTTTAGCTTGGAGGAAAAGAACAAACATGCAAATATAACAACCAGGTAGCGCTGATTTCTCTGTGTAGTTATTTGTGAGCTCGTGTTCAGACCTCTCTTCGCAGCAGAGGTGCCCTTCCCATGGAAACGTCAGCCTTGGCTGTTACTGCCAGCACACCTCAAACGAGAGTCTCAACGAGTTATTTTTTTTAAACTATTTTTTGCGTGTGAACTTGCACAAGTGGACTTGGGAACAGAAATTATTCTCACTTGGGTTTGATGGGCATTAACAACAGAAAGCTTTACTCTCACATTGCTCTCTTTAATAGTGGAAGTGCTGTACAAGCTGGAGGACCTCAGGCAGGGGAAGACGTGCTGGGGACCTGGTTTGGTGCAGCGAGGACCTGCAGCTGCCCAGCGCTGTGACCGGGGCCTCCCGGGGCCACCGTGTGCACCCTGTGTACGAGCTCCGTGGTGCTCTGGTGCTGCTGCAGCTCCACCGCTTGCTGGGGAGCAGGAAACCCCCCACGGCCTGTGTTTGAAGCCCCCCGGTGCCAATTCCCAGGTATGAACAGTGCGGTGCCTGTGCTGCGTTCACCACTAAAGCCGGGGAAGGAAAGCTGGGTGAAAGCCACGTGTCTGAACGTACCTCAAGGAAAACCACACCCACTGCTAACGCAAGGA